TAGCTTTCAATCGAAATTAATCATAAAGCTTTTCATACCTACAATTTTTGAATAAATAAATTGTGTTTGGGGTCGTTAATCAGTTATTACCTTCGCATTTAAGGTTGAAGGATTTTGTAACATTTCAAACACAGGATTTCTTTTTTAAAAATTGGGTCTGAAAAGCTGTTTCTTAGTCGTAACGTAATTGGTGAACGAGCCCTTTTATTGAAATTGTAGCGCTGAATTCACGCTCCAATGCAGTTTAACTATTTTTGCTTTTAAAATATTCGCCCGCTACTTTAAAGTGCTTTATACTTCAATTAAAAACTATATCAATTAAAATTCTTTTAAGATCTTAATAATTAAAGTAAATTCATAGTCATAAAGTAGATTGAACTCTGTAAATATCGAACGGTATCCTCAATTCCTCTTCATTGTGTACAAGAACACTTCCAATAATCAATAGATAATTGCTCTTTGTTTTCTCATGTAAACCGGATTTTGTAGCTTTTATTTTTGAGGTTTTTATTATTATTTTGTTATCATTTTATGTAAATATCAAACAAGATTATTTTTATTATTATATTTATGATATTGATTGAAAAATATTTATTGACTTATATATTTTGTTGTAAATAAACATTTAATGTTGAAATTACTGCTGTTTTCTGTATCATGTAATTTTATGGTATGGTAGACCACATAAGTTTGAAATTGAGGGTTTTGGCTACAAAAATCAATACATTTTGGGTTCTTTTACAAAATTAAAGATAATTTAACTTTATGTGTAGTAGCTTGACTAGAAAAAGGCAAAACTTTAGAAGATGCTGTATATAAATTTTTACGGTCCTTTTAACACAAGCACGTTGTTATTAAAAGCTTCCTGAGATTTACTGATGACGTGTCGACTAGAAAGATGTGTCAATTATATTAATTAAAAGTTTTGAAAGATATTTTATATTTAAAATGAAAAACTTTGATTAAATTGCACATCCAGCAATAATTAATCTTTAAATCAAATTCTTACAAAATGTCTTAAAAATATCTGCACGGTTGAGTGATCTCATTAAATAATTCAATTACGTTTCCCACACGAAAATCTTTTCCAATCTATTCTTGTAATGAAAAAATGAAAATCGCGGTATAATTTTACTCCGTCATTCATGAATAATTGAAAAATTGCTGATCGTAAAAAGTTAAAAATAATGGAAATTTCCTTATTAAGCATAAATTTGATATAGCTTGATATATTTTGATGAATAAATTTTGTGATTTTTTTTGACTTAAAAATATAATGAATCATATGAGGCGGGGGATTGCATCCTAATGACGTACTTGATGCCATTGCTTAACATTAAATTGCATAATATTAATGATTACTAGAAGTTTTTATTATTAATAATTGAATATTTGTTGAAAGTCCTGTAAAAATCCAAATAACTTCAACTAAGGTTAAAAATTGTAAGTCCTGCATAAAAAAATGGAAGAACTGATGCAGAAAAAAAATATTAAAAACCTCAATTTTGTAACAAAAATTCGATGCAGCACAATACCTATCAAAACTTCATCATGTAATGTTATGTTGAACCTCAAATTTTAATTAAAGTCTCAATTTGCATTAAATTTTCAAGACATGTGATTATATCTTATCAAGCAATATCAATAAAATATTTTGCTGTTCAAAAACCCTAATTACATTGAGAATATTAATGATAACGATATGACAAGGTTGTTTAATTTTTATGGTAAAAGATTTTAATTAGATATCAGCTTTCGTATTCTATGCTACAAAAATCAATAAAAACTATTTTCAAAATTGATGTGATTTAATTTCATTAAGGGAAAACTTTTCAGCAATTATATCTAGACTGTAATTACGTTCCTACGTATCTATTATTTTTTATTGTAAATTAATAATGTGATCGTTTGCATTGAGGATTCTATGAAGAGAGGAGCTATTAAAGTTTTGATATTGTGGGCAAAATGTTATTAAATTTTTCAATCATAAAATTTCTACGTGATGCTGAAAATTAGAAAATTATATTTTTGGTTCTAGCCGTCATGACTTTTATTGCTTTGTCGGTTTACAGCAGTGGTCTGCTTTTGTGCTCAACTTGGCTCCGAAACTAGAGATTCAGGGGCGTAGCCAGAAAATTTTTAAGGGGGGGGGGGCCATTTTCGAAAATTAAAAAACCGTTATTTTGTATCCTTAAATCTATATTCATTCTTCATAAGTTTAAATATTTAATTCATTATTTATACATTAAATTTAATTTTTCGTGCTGATTTTGACATTTCTTTCATCACTTCCTCTACATTAACTGGTTCTTCTCTATAAATACTTAATAAAACAATTATCAGATTTTCGTAGGGGGGCCCGGGCCCCCTATGCCTCCCCCCCCCCCTCGCTACGCCCCTGTAGAGATTTATTTTCTTTGTGCACTTTTTTAGAATGCCTTAGAATGCTGCAAAGTAACTTAACCCTAATAAGTGTAGTTCTTTAATCCTAAGGACTCGTTAGAAGATTTTATATATTTGACCACGCTGTCAGTTTCGAAGCACGCAGTTTTGTAAACTCTGATCAAATTCTGGCTTACAGCAATCAACCAGACTTGAAAATTTTCCACAAAAATTATTCAAATAACTGTAAAATATTTGACAATGGATATCATTATGACAACGAACCATATAAACAACAGCTTGTTAAATAATATTAAATTTCTTTGTTTACTAGTGTTTATATCCATCATCATAACAACCGATATGGAATTAAAAAATTATCGAAATGTCAGCTACACATGACTACATGAAATAATTAAGCCAAATTGTTGAGGTTGTTAACATTAATTAATGTCTTTATTAATTAATTATTTCATTTGTAGTTGTTAAGGTGAGTGAGGGGAAATACATAGTTAATTTTTCAGAATGGTTTAAAGTGCCTCAAAACTCCTTAAAAATTATCTGAGTTTGGTTTATAAATTAAACGAAGGACATCATTACCAAATGACGCCTTAACACATTTGCTTCAAAACAAGCTTTTGAGGTGCTTTAAGCTCAAGATGAGAAAAAGATGATTGCTGAAAATTAAAGCTTCTTTTTCTCAACATTATCACGTGATTTGCTTCAGCAAGTAATTTTCATCATCTGTGTATACAAAAACGTGGTAAAAATGCTTTCATAAATATTTTTCTTACATTTCACTATGTTATCCTAAAGTATGCTGGAGAAAAAGTGTACGAGCTTCTTTTTATTCGTCTTGCGAGTATTTTAGCATAGTCAAATTTGATTGAAAGTGATGGAAAAATCTTAAATCATTTTGTCTAGTGAAGCATTAAATTAAAATGTGTCTTCTATATTGTCACAGCTATACAATCTACAGTCACATCTAAATTAAATTCAATATAAATTTCAAATCATTTCACATGCGTTCCTAACCTTTTCAACCTAATCATTTCGATTGCACTCTTACATGATGCGTAGAATCAAAATTTATGCCGACATGAAAAATTCATATTTATATGTTTATGTTCGGCAAGAGAATTTACCTCACATGTGAGTCTAATAACTCCCAAATGCTTCAAGTTAAAAAGGTACAAGCTGTCTACGGATTGAAAAATTATTTATCATATTCTCTTTTCGCATCACATTTTCTCATTCCATGATTACTTTTTCATATAAATAAAAAATATATTCTGCCATAAGCATTTATAGCATTTGCTACAACACATGTGTGACTATGAATTGATTGAAAATCGATTGTTGTTATGTATTTGTTGAGGCCTACGCAAAAAACAATATTCAAACAGGAAATATTTATTCATAAAAAGTTGAAGTTCTGAGGAGTAATTTGTGTCTAGTAAACAACAAATGGGAGACTTCTTAATGTAATATCATATAACGATTAGAATACGAAACTGATTTTCCTTCAAATCCTTTGCTGCTCGGTATCCTATTAATGTTGTGATGAAAGCATAAAGTTATATTCGTAAATTGTTTGTGCAATTTCGATGACATTTATGATGAGATGTTGTCCTACATTTTGTTGCTTTCGTTCCAAAACTTTTATGTTTTCATCAATTCGTTAATTAATTGTGAGTGCTTACATAATCGACATCCTATTCGTTTTCTTCTTTTTTGATTTAGTAATAATCCTTCTAGCATACAATCTGATATTTAACACTTCTTTAACTCTCTAGTCAACATTTTGTTCGAAAATTTCAATGTAAATTTTATGTGCTGTCGGAGAAAAGTGGATCTATAGGCGAACCTGCCAGTACGAGAATTCGGCCTCTCTATTACGAATGGTAAGGCAACAGACTGGTAACACTATTTGGTGATGACGTTGATTCGATTCCCACCAGTTGTCAATATGACAAAGGATTCACACAGTGCTTTGACGTCGCCAGATTAAGGACCGTTGATATTTTCCTTATTTTAAAAAGTTGAATATTTAACGAACAAGTCAACGGTAATATGGAATTTTTTATAACACCATAGCCACAAGAGCCACTCCATTACTTACATAAGGTAATTATTAATGAGTTTATGTGAAGCGTTGGTCTTCATACTTAATCCTCGACTTTGAATAAATCATGGTGTAATGAAAAGCGTTAGAAACGCTCTTGAAAAATAAAAGATTTTAATTTTTGAGTTGTGGATGAATATTCTGCATTTAGAGAGAACTAGAAGCTTAAGTTTTTGATTATTTTCCTGAGATTATCGATTGCATGTGTGGTTGCTTGCCATCTATAAAATCCTAAATGAATAGAAAGGTCGTTTTATCATTTAGTAAATCAAGTGGCAAGTTTATATGAGATTGACCAAAAAAACTATCTTTTTAAATCCTGTTTAATCACAATAAGTTACTAAACTTCAAAACAGGTTTTGTATTCCAACGCATTGTCTGCTGATTTGCCATACAAAATTCACGGTCATACTTTTTTTTGAAAGTACTCGTGCAGTTATCTGAAACATGCATTTCTTGATGCCTACAGTTCAGTTGTTTATCAATATTCAGCATGAATACATCACAAATAAGTGAAGTTTTAGAAATTTTCTACAACAATGCTGACGCTAGAATACGTGATAAAATATTCATGGGAACACCGTACATCTTAATATCAATTTATCTATTCTATGTGCTGTTTACTGCAAATTTTTTACCAAAGTTCATGGAGAACCGAAAGCCATTGAACTACGACGTGTTAATGTCTAGCCTTGATGCAATATTGTGCGTAGTTGCGTCCTATTTCTTTCTTCATGCACTAGTTGGATGGATGTATTTCTACAATTGGACATGTCAACCGATTGATCGATCAGACATTTGGCTATCAAACAATGAACTGAGATTGACACATGCATTTTTAGTGTCAAAGTTTTTGTACATCCTACAAAGTATTGTGCTTGTTATTTGCAAAAAAGATTCACCATTTGCAGCATATCTTTTATATCATCACACGTTATTTCCCATAATGCTGTGGTTTGGCATTAATTTTTATCCTGGAGGACATGCCACGTTTGTAGGATTGATCAACTCTTTCGTACATGTGAATACCACTGTGATGAGATTTATGGCAATCAAATTTCCCAAAAGTGGATTTAGAACTTATCAGCGATTAATTCATGTTTGCTTGAATGTAAGTACCAGTCAATGGGTACTTGAACTGATTTTAACGTATATCTTTTCACAGGTATTTCAATACATTGCCGTATTTTGTCATTCGTCGCTTTTATTCTTCCTACATGATTGTGAGGTGCCAAAAATTTTGGGAGCTTATGAAATTGTTTGTGCTACCATTATTGCTGTGTTCTATAAAAAGTTTGTGATAAATGCCAAAAATAACAGAAGTGTTGTAAAACAGTTTGATGATAATGAAAAATTTTAATAAAAAGGATTTTCGATTGCATAAAATTCTGATTGGAATTATTTTACAGCCTTACTGATGTATCAGCATATGACATAATCCTCATTTATATGTTAATTCGTTCATATTTTAATGCTGTGGACCAAAATGGGATTGATTTAATTTTTATTGCGAAAATCTTTGGATTAATTCCTGATTAATTCTGAAATTGTGTGAAAATCAATGAATTATTTAATATTAATGATTACATAATGAGATAAGACATAATTTCGTGGAAAGATTCAATTCATATGGTTCAAGGCATAGAGCATACAGGAACATTCAAAGAAAATTATTCCGAATCTAAAGATATTCATCATCAATGCCTCAAACCTACTCGTACATATTGAAATTTAGTGGCATTTTTATAAAAAGGCTCTCAACCTCCATCCAACGATATTTAAAATTCAAATGAGATTAAAAAATTCTTACAATAAAAAAAATAAACGATTTCAAAAACGATGGGTTTGACATGAAAATAGGAAAAAAGGATATAAATGGAAATGAAGCAATAACAGAGAAATTGAAAAGCGATGAAGTTAAAAAAATCATTTCATTTTTGTTTAATCAATAAAATGTTAAACAAATTTTCCCTTCTTATTTTTTAATGGCATATATTTTGAAGTAAGGAATGATATATTATGGATATTCATAGCACATTAAAATTTGTATCTTGGTTAAAAATATAAAAATTTTTAACAATGATTTCAAAAAAATTGGGAGGGGTAGAGTTTTGACACTCTTATACAAACTCAGTCAATGTTAAAGTAAGCTACAACATCAAGCACTTCAAATTCCAAGAAAAACCTGTAAGCTTCTCAAAACATTTTTGTTTACGCTCGAAAAAGTTGAAAAACAAAAAATAAAACGTAAAAGCACGGCGAATTTCCCATGAGTGCCTCTATTTTCATTTTGAACCTAATTTTGTATTCAGTTGATCTTCGACATGTCTTCTTTCTCCTGCCACTCCACTCCTTGAAAATTTCCAAATGAAATGGGCTTGAATTTCCAAAACCTATCATTACAAGCTATTAAATTTCAAAATTGAATTTGATGCATCATCTTTTTGACACATTCACAAATACACTTGGTTTAATGTGATGACATGGCAATGATGAGAATGGAAGTGAAACAAGCAATTTAACGCGATTTTTGTCATTCACCTGCCTTCTTTTATTCGCTTAATTTAACACGGTGGGTGATTTAGTAGAAATCTCGTTATGTGGGTGAGAAATTTAATATATTAAATTTGAGCTTCTTATGCTTAAAATTGAAAAAGATACTGTATGTTTTAAAAATCTTGTGACAGATGAGACCACCCCTTAACGGAAAAGCTTTCACATAGAAACCTAATCTTAAAATAAATCACAATTCATCTGGCTTGAAATTATGTTTCCAGTCTAGCGTGAAAATAGAAAATGATTTGTCCTTTTTTAAATTTAATATTAATGACATGATGGAATGATTTTGGCGTGTGTATTGTTTTTGTCTTGAGCTGTCTTGAGCTTCATCGTGAGTTTTTCAGCAGCTCAAAAAGATTTCTTGGTTTCCTTTCCACACAATTGATTTTGTGACTTTTATTTTATTTGGATCATGATAATTATTGACGCACATTTAATAAATTGAGCATACTTTATGGTTTTGTGTCTGTTTATTTATCCACCAGATAGGCAATTTTCTATATAAATTAAAAGTGAATGAAATCTGTCAATTCAAAATTCTCCAACAATCATAAGATCTTAATTCATTTAAGTTAATTTTAAGTTTTTTTCTTCGGTTCCAGTCAGTGCCATTTCTAAGATGCCATTAAGAATCTGCGATTATACAAAAATCAAGCTAGAAATAACAGAAATGGGAGATTTGCCAATAATCAAGCAAGAAGCAGCAGAAATGAGAGAGTTGCAAATAATCAATCAAGAACATCAAGACAAATCTGAAGAAGTGGATGAAAACTTTATGGAAAAGCAAGAAGAATCTGTTGATTATTATTTGATGTTACCAGAAAATGAAGTTACAATTTCATCAGCCAGAGAGGAAGCTTCTACAATAGATTCCACCAGAAAACCTTCAAAATCTCTCAATGATTCAAAAAGATCTGAAATTATCGTCAAAAAAGCTCGTGACAAACCCAAAATTACAGCTACAATTTTCAAAAAAAAGTTTTATGGATTGAAGTGCAAAATTTGTCAAAAATCTTTCACCAGAAATGACAATTTGAATCAGCATATGAAGTACGTTCATCAAAATTGGAAGAAAAGTGAACTCTTCACATGTGATGGCTGTGGAACAGGATACAAATACAAAAAGTCTATCGCTTGTCATATGAAGCAGCATATGGAAGTTCAACCTTTAGCCTGTAAAATCTATAATAAAGGATTTAGCATTAATAGCCAATTAAAACAGCATATGTTTAGTCACGACAAAAAAATTCCATGCAAGATTTGCAGAAAAAAGATAAAGCCCAATAATATTAATAGTCACACTAAACAATGGCATGCAATATTCAAGAAATTTGAATGCAAAATTTGCTGTGGCTTTTTTAAGACAAGAAATGCACTGAATAGTCATCTTGCTGCTCATGAAAAGAAGTTTTTATATCGAAAATTGTAGAGGGAAATTCTGGCGCTGCTTAAAATTTGACAAACTATAAAATATGTTAAATGCAAGAAAATGAAAAAATAACTTAACAGAATGCAATGTAAAGCTCATTGATACCGAGATTCAATAAAATAATATTTAAATTGACATCGAACTAAAGGTATTAAAACTCTAGCTAGACCTTTAAGCTGATGAAGAACTTTTTTATAAGGGATCTTTAGTGATCCAGGAGGCTGACGCTCACCAGTTGTTGAGTGCTTTCTTGTCCTTACATATGCACCTCTGGCTCCCGAGATACGTCCCGAAACAACAGTGTTTTAAAATACTATTTCTAAAGTGTTTGCTTTTGATGAGGCAAGGGACAGTAAGGTTTGCAATTGACCAATTCTGACCTTAACTCATACAAAGATAAACAGCATAAAAAATATTCCTGTTGAATATTTACAAAATCCAATTTAACTTCCACAAAACAAAAAAATAAATAAAAATCCTACATTCAATTTGCTCTTACTTTGCTCTAAATTGATGATCCTTAAACTCTTGAAGTCATCTTCAGCACTCAAATATACTTTGCCTTTCTTCTACACAATACTTTATGCTTCTGTAGAGTAGAAAAAAATGAAAAAGGTACAGACTAAAAGGCACTTAATCTAATACAATGGAGATGAGACAAAGGATATGGAAGATGTCACAAAAGGTAAAATTACTAACTTTAATCTTGTCAAAAAATTGTGTTTTAAAGGTTTTAAATCAAATTTATCTGATAAAGATTATAATAATGTTGGGTATGGGATGTTGAAGATGAGATCTGTTGCTTGATTATTATAATCTGATAAAAATTGATTTGAGTTTCACTAATTTGCGTTGAATATTTTACTAGCTGTACGAAATGAATTAACCCACTATGCATCCAGGATACAAAACGAGAACATTTATATCAGTAATGCGAATTAGCATCAATAATAATTTTATTTGTCAAATTCAGCAACAACTAACGATGTAAAATATAAAATTTATTACTTTCCTAAAATGCGTATCCAAATATAACGCAAATTCCTCAATATTGTTACCAACAAAAATAAATCCTTAAATCCTCTCATCACGAAATACACAAAACCCAAAAATAACATTTGAATGATCAATAAAAATAATATTTGATCTTGAATTCATGAAAAATGCGAAGCGAAAAAATCAATTGTTTTGCTATAATGTTGGCTTTGTGTCACAAGAAGCAAATATTTTAGGAATTTCAAGGGCGATAAAGGAAAGGGAGATAATATTACACTAGAAAATAAAGAATAAAGCTCACGAAAGTGTAATATAAATAAGGTAATAAGGAAAGAGAGTGAATGGATTGGTGTTAATATTTTGAAAGTATGAAAAGAAGTTTTTCCTAAAGACATGCTATAGTAATGGATGGGTGCAAAATTTTTCGAGTAGTTTAGGGGGAAGAAGGTTGAACTTGATCTTGAAAAAGTCACAAATTTACTCGCGTTTGCCACAAGAACTTAAATCTATCCAGGTAAAAGCATAATTTTAAAAATTATATTTAAAGAGATGAACCCTAAATAGTCGAAAATCCATGAGTGCAGCCTGTAGATCTCCCTTTAACTGCTATATGTGTATACTAATGTAAAACAAGTCGGGTTCGATATGAATCGAACCCACGACCTCAAAAGAGGCGATCTAAAACCATTTGATGAGAGATCCCTGTCGCTGGGCCCCCGAGGTTCTTATCTGACTTCGGCTATCCGTCATACACATATAACCCAGGATATAACCAGTTTCAACGCGAGCCCTATGCTCAGGCCTATGCTCTTTGAGCCATATCTGCATACACCAAAAAATGTTCAGACAAAATATTTTCTTGAAAAATCAGGGATGGAGGGCTAGCTTTCCTATTTACCCAATAATAATTAAAAATGAACATAATCATTTATTAAGTTCACACAATAAACGCGAAAAAGTGAATAAAACTAGCGCGACAACAACGAAACATTGAAAATTTGAAATTTATAGAGCATTAAAATGTGGCTTCGTGCTCAAAATACACACTTGCGTGACGCAATAAGTGAACGAAATAAGAAAAAGTTTTCCACCTAGACGAGCTTTTTATTTTGTATAAAAAACTGGTAAGCACGTTGAAAAGAAGGAGAAAAAGTTTCCCTTTGTATGCCTTATTATGTATTAAGTAAATGTATAGAAGAAATCATTCTTTAAGCTCGCACATAAAAAATTCACACAGAGAAAGCGTGCGGTTTAAGCATAAAAAAATATGGAAATTTTTCTATTCAAAGCTATTCAAACATTCATCAATTTTTATCCTTAAATATTCTTAGAGCTTCCATTTTTCACGTGTGTGACTAACTTAAGCATAGAAAGTTTTCTGC